ATGTTTTTCATTTATTCTAGAGAGAGGATGGAAGAAGGAGACAGAGAGAAACATCCATCAGTTGCCTCCTGTACATGCCCTGACCAGGGATCGAACTTGAAACCTGGGTATGTGCCCTGACCGGGGATCGAACCCAAGACCCTTCAGTGCATGAGATGATGCTCCAACCAATTAAACCACGTGGTCCAGGGAAATACAATTTTTTAACATGATTGGTTCTCTGGTGTGGCTTTAAATTGTTTCAAGGCAATTCCAAAAGTCATGTTTAAAAGTCAAGCTGCTAAGTAATCCATGTATTGGTTGGATCCTCAGTTCTATCTTTTTTTAATTTAATGAGTCATAATGTAATTTATTTTATTTATGATCTAATTACCTATGCTTAGCACTAAAATGTATTGGCCCCTGAAAGCAGGAGGCAGTACTGAGGAACCCTATTTCGAGTCTAAGTTTACAGTGTATAAACACTACATTTGATATATTCAGTTTAGTTTCCCTTCCCTGCTGAATTTGTTGCTGTTTCCTCCCTATCTTTCTCTCACTTTCTCTCTCTCCCTTTCTCTCTCTCCCTCTCTCTCTCTCTCTCTCTTCTCCCCCCCCCTCTCTCTTTCTCTGACAAATATTTTATTATTTAAACTCACTTTTAGGAAACTTTGTACCAGGTTACTTTTTCTTTCAAATGATTTATTTTGTTGCCTGAATTTTGAGAGTGAAAATGTACCAGCACTCCCTTTTCCTTAACATGGGATTCATCATACCATAAAAACCTTTTTTTCCAACCAACTTCCCGTCTCTGTTAGGATGCTCTGAGCCAGTCTGAAGAAGAATCAAGTGCTATGTCATGGTGACATCCCCAGCTCACAGAACCTTATCTTGCAAAGTACTTACTTTACATTGTAACTGAAAACGCAGTTTGCCCTGCGCTGGCATGACTCCAAACATTGGAAATTTTAGAACATGGTGCTTTTATGCTGAAACATTGCACAATCCCCAGAGTGCAGAACAACCATGTTCTCACTACTGCTATGTTAGAGAGAGAGGGGCAGAGGGAAATCGGGCTCCATAATAAAGTATTTGGGTCGCAGGAACGGGAGGGGGAGAGGAATGAACACCTGAAAGGCATTATTCAACTTAGGCATCTTCTAACCTGGAGATGAAGAAAGACAGCACTGAAGGAACTTTTTAAATCCCTACTACCAGCTCACAGAACACCTAAGAACTGAATGAAACAACACTTATCATTGGGACTTTAAAAGTCACATTTCTTGGTTTCTGCAATAAATCCCTTTTGTCTGATGTTTGGTACCCAAGATCAGAAGAAGGCAAGGTCTTTATTCTGACCTGGGAATCAGAATTATCTGGATTAAATGCTTTCAGAGAAAGTTCCCTTCCCTTTTTTTGAGTCTCATTTCTAGAGCAGCTTTTTTCTCAGAAGGTTATTGCAAAATCTACTTGTTCTTGGTAAATATTGAAAGGATCACAAACAGGTAAATTCCTTGCAACCCACTGTCATGGTTCAAATATAGAGAAATGAACACAAAAATGTATGCCCGCTATCCTCTAGGGCAGACTGAGGCAGGTGATGGGAAGATATCATCACTGATTAGGGTATGCAAACAAGATCCACCTCTCATCACTCATTGGTTCCTTCAGCCAGTCAGCCAACACACATTTACTCAACACCCACTATGTTATCTGAGTGGGTGCTGAGGCACTCCCTTGCACTCCCTTTCTCTCCCCTGACATTTAGACAGCCTCAGAGAAGCATTAATTTAATTGTTCCAACAGAAATAAACCAGGCATGAGGTAGGTACCAGAGAGGAGGGGTGGGGAAACATGGTTCTACCACCATCTTGGACGTCACTTGGACCATCTGAGCTTCGGTTTTTCCCATATACAGAATGAGGGTGGAAATAAAGTATCCCTCATTTCAGTGATAAGCTTCTACTTTTCCAAGATTGTAGGGAGCTTTTCCGTGTCCAGCAGTGTGCCCTAAGGAAGCGTCCATCACACACACACACACACACACACACACACACGTCTCAGCCTCTTGCCCCTGATTATTGACTATGTGTTTAAAGTTCTCAGGTAATCCCAGGTATGCCAGTGCTCAGATCAAGGAAGTTTGTTTGTTTGTTTGTTTGTTTGTTTTCATTTTAGGCAGGATTTATCCATGCATTCCTTTACCACTGAGACCTGCAGTGTAGTTGGCTGCCCTTACAAAGTCCAGGCAACAGAGGGAATCTCATTAATATATGTCAGCTCTCCTTCCTTTGGGGACAGGGGTAAATAGCTGGAGATGACACCATCAGACCCTGATGTGAAGAGCTTAAAAAATGTCAAAGGGGTCCAGGAAGCACAGAGTCCCAAATAAGATGAACCCCAAGAGGCCCACACCAAGACACATATCATCAAAACGCAAAAGGTTCAAGACAAAGAGAGAATCTTAAAAGCAGCAAGAGAAAGGCAGCTAGTTACCTACAAGGGACTTCCCATAAGACTGTCAGCTGATTTCTCAAAAGAAACTTTGCAGGCCAGAAGGGAGTGGCAAGAAATATTCACAGTGATGGGAAGCAACAACCTACAACCAAGATTACTCTATCCTGCAAAGCTGTCATTTAGAATCGATGGACATATAAAGACTTTCCCAGACAAGGAAAAGTTAAAGGAGTTCATCACCACCAAACCGTTATTATATGAAATGATGAAGGGTCTTTTTGAAGAAAAAGATAAAATATATGAACAAACCAAATGGCAATGAATACATATCTATCAACAATGGAATCTACAAACAAAATGAACAGGTAGAACAGAAACATTCTCATAGATACAGAGAACATTTTGTTGGTTGCCAGTTGGGAGGGGGGTTTGGGGAATGGGTGAAAAGGTGAAGGGATTAAGAAGTACAAATCCATTGCTAGGCTGACAAATCTCAAAGGGAAAGGGGTTGGGGTGGTGGGAAGAAATAAACCAAAGAACTTATATGCATAACCAATGGACACAGACGACAGTGTGGGAAAAGGCGGGAGGGGGGCGGGAGGAGGGAGGAGGGGGTCAATGGGGCAAAAATGAGGAACATCTGTAATACATTCTACATTCAACAATAAAGATTTAAAAATAAAATAAAATAAAAAATGTCAAAGGGGAAACTATGCTTTCTGGTTTAAGGGCTATGCCAGCCGTTCTGCCGCCGCACCTCTGCGCTCCGCTTTCTCGGCCTCGGCTGCAAGGCTGCCCCTGCCCGGAAGGCAGGCAGTGCACCGGTGGGGCTCCGTGGCCACCGGGGTGCGTGTCCCGAGCCTGCACGTTGAGACCCCTTTCCCAGGCGCACCCAAACCTACGCAGGAGAGCGCTGCCCTCTAGCGACGGAATGGGAGATGCAGGGCGACCTGAGCTTGAGGGGAGCCCTGAGGCTGCTGATCCTAGAGAAGGATCAAGTCATGATCAGTCCTTTGCAAAGGGCGCTTCTGGCTGGGAAAGGCCCTTTCTCTACGCGTGGGCTCTGACACTGTGGTTTCCGTCTAGGGCCAGGAGGGATAGATAGATGAAAAGATAGATGGATAAACAGATATAAATGATAGACAAACCGGAAGGTGGATGGATGACAGATGATTAGAAACACGTCTTTAGGGCTTGCTAAGTGCCAGGCACAAGGCTAAATGTGTTTATTATTTAATTTACCTATTTACGGAACCCTATGAATGGCACATGACCTCCGTCAATATTTTCCAAATGGGAAAACAGTCCTTAGAGAAGATACATATTAGAGAAGATAAATATTGCCTCTTGGCAACATTCCGTCCAGCTAGGAAGTGACCCAGCAGGACTCAATTGACAGCCCACCTCCACCTTTGGCTCTGGGCCCCCTCCTGGCCAAGAGGATATGTGCGCCTCAAGACCGGCCGCTCTGGGTACTATGTACCTCATCCCTCCCTGGACACTACAATCCTGGCGTGCTGACATCACACCCGCCCCGGCACCCCCTCTTACTCGTCAAACACCCACAGGGACACCTCGGGCAGCGCGCTTGAGGAAGCGGTCCCCAACTTGGAAGACTGCGTGGGAGCCTGGGTAAAGGCGGGAGGGTGCCCTGTCGCAGTGGCGGAACTGCAATCAGGTCCCCGAGGAACACCGTTCCAGAAGCTCAGGCTTCACTGCGTCCACGCTTGGCAAGCGGTCTCCCTAACGCGAAAGAGGAAAGCTCAGTTCTGCGATTTTAGGATTCCCGGGAAGTTTCCATCTTTTCTTCTTTTAACCATTAACTGAGCACCTACTATGAGCCTGACGCTGTTAGACACACAACAAGGAACTCAGTCTAACATAGGGACAGACAAGTGGATAAATAACGACGGCTGTGCTTAGTGCCCACCGTGACGGCGAGGGCGCCCAGGAGGAGGCGAAAGGGGGCAGGTTCACTAGCTCTGAGGGTCCCCAGGACATTCCAGAAATCTAAATCAGTCCATCTGCCTTTCCTAACGCCGCACCTTGGCTCGCTCTCTCTGGGGCCCGCACCTGGAGAGTGCAATTTCATTGCCCTTACTTTCGGGGACTTGATCTCGTCCCATTCTCGTCCCAAATTTCTTAATTACCTTGATTTGTCACCCGGCTGTTGGGGAGAGCAGCAAGCTCTCTCCCACACCGCCCCCTCAGGGTGGGGAGAGGGGCAAGAGCCGTGCGAGCAACGGCCCGGACGGACCCCTCCCGTGACGGCGTCGGCGGGGGTGGCGTAGGGCCTGCGTCAGCTGCAGCCGGGCGGCGATTGGGGCGCGCTCACCTCCTTCTGTTTGGGGCTAATTATAAAGTGACTCCAGCCGCCGCCAGCCGCAGGACAGCGAGGGGAGGCGAGGCAGGCGCTCTGAGACCCGCAGTCCAGCCCGCGGCCCCGCGGCGACACTGACAACCGCGACGGTAAGACCGGCGCCTGCCCCAGCCCCCGGCCGCCTCTCCCGACGCACCCTGCCCCCTGACACCTGCCTTCTTCTCCTCTCCCTCCTAGTGTCGTGACTGGGACTCGGCTTCTCCGACCAAGCTGCGCCATCTGAACAGCGTCAATGTGAGTGAACTCGCCCAGAGCGCGCCTTGGCCGCGTGCCTTTGGGGCCGTCCGCCAGCTCTGTTTTATTCATTGCATGGGGTTCCCAGTTGTCTTCCTGTTTGTGACCCGGGTCAATGTCACGCCTCTCCAGGCTCCCGCTTTCGAGCATTTTGGTCTTGGCTCTTCCCTCTAGAATCCTGCCCCGAGCAACATACGCCCAGTAAGAGCCGAGTGTCCGGAGCAGCTCCGGGCTCCGGGCGATAGTGCCACCTGGGAACCGCGAGGCGATCTGAGCTGTCCCGGGCCTCTTTAAACCGCGTCAGCAGGACAGGAGCGGGTCAGGCAGAAACGTCCCTAGGAGCTCTTGCTCTCTTGCCCCACAAACTCCCTGCTGGGACTGTCCCGGCGAGGGTCCACCTCCGAGGGACCTGCTTGCTTGCGGGCAGGCTTGGAGTTCGCGTCCTCTCTCTTTGCAGCCCATGGCGCGGTTCCTGAGACTCTGCACTTGGCTGCTGGCGCTCGGTCCCGGGCTCCTGGCGACCGTGCGGGCAGAATGCAGCCAGGATTGCGCGACGTGCAGCTACCGCTTGGCGCGCCCGACCGACCTCAACCCGCTGGTAAGTGTTTGAGCGGTGGGTGAGCCAGTAGTGGCCACCGCGCGGCGCGTCTTCTGGTCAGTCACCACCTTTGGTAACTCGGGTGTCCCTACTGTTGCCCCAAACGCTGACCCAGGTCCCGCTCTAGCTCTCAGCTTCGGGGACCTGCGACTACCTAAGAACCGGTAAGGGCGGCCCTGTCCCCACGCAACCGTTTTGTTGTTTTTTAACCTCGGGGATACCGGAGCCCCTTTGTTCTCTCTTCAGTACCTTGGAGAGCACCTAGTTGTCCCCTCACATGTCCCGAGGAAGATGCTCAGTCACCCCAACTCTAACATCCCACTAAAGGGCCCTTCCACACACAACCATCCTCTCACCCTGCCCACAGATAATGTCATTTTTTTATTAGTGATATTTTGTCGCCTTTTTACCGATTTCATTTCTCTGGCCCTTTTAACCTGGGATCCCTCAAGCATTTACCCTCAGAAAGCTAAGGGATGAGGGAGAGGAGAGTGCACTAAACAGGAGAGAAAGATCAGCAACTGTCTCACAGAGAAGTGATGACGGAATTCAACTTCTGTTATATCTTGAATGTGCTTTTGTAAAACCTACTAAGACACCAATTTGATTTGACTATGAAAAAGGCACAGGATAGGTAGGCCAGTGTCCAAAGAGGTGGCAACAATGCAAAGATAAATGACTCCCTTGGGCCTTGGGGCGGGGGGTGGGGGGGCTCGGGACAAAAGAGCTCTTATCCTAGTTATAGTCCATGTGCTCTTGAATCACCACTGATGCTCCACTGATCAAAATTTCTGGGTTTGAGACCCAGGCAGCTTCATTTTAATCAGCTCCCCTCTGTTCCACTTGCACGCCCTTAATTTGCGGAAATTTTGTGATGACTTCAAGAGCTCAGCAGAGAATAGTGTATTCATCCGAGAAGGTAAGCTCTTCACTGGAGCCTTTGAAAAAACTTTGTTATATAGATGCAAAAAAATAGGGACAAAAATTAAGGAAAGGATTCCACAAAATCCAAAGCATATAATTCAGTTTAAAGGATTGTTTCATTTGAATTACCTGATTCACTTCATTTGATACTTGCATGTGCTAACATAACCTGAAAGAGGAGACACATAGAGGGGCTTTAGATTTAAACTACAAGAAAAACGTTGCCTCTTAAATAGGGGTAACGATACCTTTCATCCATCTTTTCTAATTATCTAATGTGTTTTTTGTCTAACTGATTTGTTTTGTATGGGAGCTTGCATTTTGGGTTATTTTCTCTGTGACAAAAGGCTTTGTTAATAACCATGTTGTTAGAATTACAGCAGGTCTGGTATTTTAGCTTGGGGGCAAAAACATATATGAGAAATGAGGTTGCCTAAACAAAACCATGTAGCAAAATCAACATAACAAATATTTATTGACCTTCCACATGAAAGTGCTTGGTTCTGTGGCAGATGCAAAGATACACAGGCATGCTATAATTGATGTCCAAATTAAATTTACATCTAATATGACCTTGATCATAGAACACAGAGTGTGATAAATATAACAAAAAATGCATAGACATATATAGGAGCATATAAATTCAGATCACTTTTTTAATATGAATGTGTCATTCTGATTATTTGTCATTATTTGTTTTTGAAGAAATCCTAACATTAAAAAGCGTTTTAGTAACAGTATACAAAATATTCAACATTAATTTTTGGTAAAGAAATCACTAAATTATTTTAGAATAAAAATATTGATACCTGAACATCTTAAGTTTTTAATAACGTTTTGATTTATTAATCAGATATCAAAAGTAAACAGTATCTTTTTAATTAGGTCACCTTTATATTTTATATGTGCATATATTTAATTTTCTTAGACACAAAACTGAAATAATCATTAAGAGTTGATTAAATATGTCCCCTAAAGAATTTTGTTGCACTAATAAAATACCTTCGTACATTGTGAAAATAATGTGTGTATATTTTATATCAATTAATATACCAATATATTTTTAAATACCAAGAAAGAACCTGTTTTTTCTAAATCAAGGGTTGGTAACCTGAGTTCTATACGTAGGCTTCAGAGAGCTATAAAAACCCCTGAAATGCTCAGAAATATCACTTGGATTGCATGCCAGTAATATCACAACTTCATGTAATACTAGTACTCTTTTTATCATAGCCAAATGATTTGTTGAATAGAAGAGAATCTTAACAAGATTAAGAGAATATATAGACTAAATCTTACCATGATTAGAATTTAATTATATAATAAAAAGAAAGAAACTGTGTATGGAACATTTCTATTTTGTCAGAAAACATGATTTCCATTGGAAAAGACTTTTCAATTACACCAGCAACAAAATGTTAAGAAAAGTAACATGAATAATCTAAACATTAGTATGTGTATAATTTCATATTGGTTTTCATAATTACAAGCATTTGGTTCAAGATGATTAAATCTGTTTTAATCAATTAAGGGGGAAGAAAAGCAAAACCTCTACTTTCACCAAATCATTATGTCATAATACAGATAATTCATAGGATTTAAATTGAGTTTGTAGAATGTCTTTTTTCAAACTTTGACAATTTTTTTAAGATTGAAAATGTTTCCAACAATATTGGATACAATTGCAGGTAAAGTATTAAGAAAAGAAAGTAAACAAATCTTATATCATTAATATTAATTTTATGTAAGACAAGAATATAAAAGGAATTTTGGGATAATGTCCCTAATTAGGTAAAGAGAAATGTCTCCCTTTTGGTTAGGGAAAGCTCAAATGAAATTAAATCAACAGTGAAAAAATTACCCAGTGAAATTAGATTGTACAGGCAGTCAATCTAGGTTAAAATTGAGTGGAAAGAACTCTTTTACAGTATTAAAATGGCATGATATATACAATCTGTTAAAATACAAAGACAAATTCTAATTTGTTTCAGTTAATTCTCCACAATTTTTCTAAATTTGTTTTCCTTTGATTTGCCTATATGGGAGTTTTTATAGCAAACCACATATATGGTGGTCCACACAAATCTGTTTACTTAACACAATCACAAAAACCTCCTTTATTCTTAAACTGAATTCTTTACCCAGGCTTGCACGCTGGAATGTGAAGGGAAGCTTCCTTCTCTCAACACCTGGAAAGTCTGCAAGGAGCTGCTGCAGCTGTCCAACCCGGAGCTTCCTCAAGATGGCACCAGCGCCCTCAGAGAAAGCAGCAGACAGGAGGAGAGTCATTTGCTGGCCAAGAAGTATGGGGGCTTCATGAAAAGGTATGGAGGCTTCATGAAGAAAATGGATGAGCTTTATCCTCTGGAACCAGAAGAAGAGGCAGATGGAGGTGAAAACCTTGCCAAGCGATACGGGGGCTTCATGAAGAAGGATGCAGATGAGGGTGACACCCTGGGCAATTCCCTAGACCCGCTGAAAGAGCTGCTGGGAACAGGGGACAACCGAGAGAGCAGCCACCACCAAGAGGGCAGCGATGATGATGAAGAAGTGAACAAGAGATATGGGGGCTTCATGAGAGGCTTAAAGAGAAGCCCCCAGCTGGAAGATGAAGCCAAAGAGCTGCAGAAGCGATACGGGGGCTTCATGAGAAGAGTGGGTCGCCCAGAGTGGTGGATGGACTACCAGAAGAGGTACGGGGGCTTTCTGAAGCGCTTTGCCGATTCTGTGCCCTCCAATGAAGGTGAAGGTTATTCAAAAGAAGTACCTGAAATGGAGAAAAGATATGGAGGATTTATGAGGTTTTAATACCGTTTCCCATCAGTAACCCCAGGCTCCAGCAAGCCTTTCTCTATTCCCCAGTGAGAGACTGCCTCATCAATTGTGTTGTATTGCCCTGTGTTGCTTGCATTGTATAGCTGACTTTATTGTCTGAATAACTATACAACCTGAAAGCTGTCATTTCAGGTTCTGTGATCTTTTGAGAGTCTGTAAGCTCAGTATTGGTCTGTTGCAGCTGTCTTGTTTTCATGCTAAAATAGTTTTTGTCACCTTGTCCTTTATTTTTGACAAAACACCAATAAATGCTTACTTGTTTATGGATATAATAAACCCATTACCCGAATGCATAATATTCTCGCAAGACTCTTCTTATCCAAGGCCCTCACTTACTTTTGGGTTTCATCAGTAAATCCTGACTGCAGGGACAGTGAAACCATCTGCTTTCAACAATCATCACTGGCCTCCTTCTCTTCCAACAGCTGTGGCTGCAAAAACAGTTTTCATTTAATTTCTTATACGTTAAATCTTAGATGAGTAAATATATTAGAGCAAAATAAAATGTATTTCCATTCTCATTTCTGGAAATCAGATATATGAAGAAAACCAAAGCCTAATAAAGAGACTAGCTATGCCCTCATAGATAAGAAAATCTGCATTAACATCCAGAGGCATATGTCTCTTTTCTACAGCAAAGTATTCTAGAAGTTAATAAGAAATTAAAGATAATTTAGCCCCATTTGAATGACGGTGAAGACAGGAAAGGTTAACTAGATGGTCTAAGTTTCCCCAGCAGTTGAAGGATAGAAAAAGAATTAAGACCCCAAACATCTTGCTCTCCAGCAATATCTTTTTTTTTTTTTTTTTTTTTGAAATTTTTTTAATTTATTTATTTTTTTGTTACAGATATTTTACCTTTTTACCCCATTGGCACCCCCCACCCCCCCCCACCCCGTCCCAGGCTTAGTTGTCCATGTCCATTGGTCATGCACACATGCATATAAGTTCTGTGGTTTATCTCTTCCCACCCCCCACCCCCCATCCCCTCTTCTGAGGGATGTCAGTCTGTGCCCTACTTCCATGTGTCTGGGTCTACTGTATTCCTCAGACTGTTATGTTCATTATATTCCGTATATAAGTGAGATCATGTGGTGTTTGTCCTTCTCTGCTTGGCTTCTTTCACTTAGGATAATACTTTCCAGGTCCCTCCATGTCGTCTCAAAGGATAAGAGATCTTTCTTTCTTACCGCTGCATAGTACTCCATTGTGTATATGTACCACAGCTTTTTGATCCATTCGTCTACTGGTGGACACTTGGTCCAGCAATATCTTTATCACTCTAATTCCCTAGCTCTCATCCCCATTACTACCAAGAATTGGGAGAACTTGGGACTATATATTGTTCACTATAATACACCCTATACCACGACCACAGTGGGCACTCCAATATCTGATGAATGAATGTATGAATAAATAAAATAATTAATGAAGAGATTTAGTGACCAGTCACTGGGAAAGGTGTTATGGATGTTTTATAAGGTAGATTCTCATCCCACAGGGCTTATGACTATTTCATATGAATTAAACCATAGAGAACAACATTCAGGCACAAAAAACGGAAACATTTTCTTCTTTTTCTAATTGAAACTACCTGCAGCTAAACTACCCCAGAAGCCTTTTATCCAGGACCCTCACCCATCTTCTCCTTTGTGTTCTTTCCCCAAAAGTCAGGATTTAGCAGCTCAGAAAAACAGAGGAAGAGTCTCTGCTCCGCAGTCCAGCCCCGCAGGCCCACGCGCTCCATTCCCGAGGGGTAGCTTCGCTGTCTCGGGCGCTCCCAGCCTGCCAGGGTTCTCAGGACTCCACAAAGCCATATGCTGTTAGAAGACCCAATTCCTCCTGAGGGCAACCCATTCACAGATCCCCACTTTTCTTCCTGATCCTTAGCAAACTAACTTTTTCTTCCAGGCCAGAGCCCTCCTTTTGAACTAGAAGTGCATGTAGTGTAGGTGTGCGAAGCAGGCCAGGAAGAAGGGGACAACCAGCAGCTGGCCTTGGAAATCAGTGTCTGGAGCATGAGGACTGAGGGCTGGAACATGTCAGAGAGATGAGGTCTCTCTTCAGTCTTAGCCGATTGTTTCCCTCGGAAACGCCGACCATGTTGCCAGACTTTTCCAAAGAAACCCGAAACCTAGATTTTCATGATACTATCCCAAGTTTTTAATCTTGGCCATTGATTCTATTTAAAACAGTGTTATGGGTGAGAAAGGTGAAAGGGATTGAGAAATATAAATTGCCATTTATAAAAACAGTCACAGGGATATAAAATACAGCATAGTCAATAACATTGTGATAACTGTGTGTGGCGTCAGATGGATACTAGATTTAGTGGGGTGACCACTTCCTCAGGTATATAAGTGTCCAATCCCTATGTTATACACTTGAAACTAACATAATATTGTATATCAACTATAATTAAAAATAATTTAATAACAAATAAATAAGTATAATGTTAAAAATAAAAGAGTGTGGACCAAACACAATCTATCTGCAGGTCAGATTTGAGAGACATGGGGCGAGTCTTTTGAGAAAAACTCTCACTTAATTCTCTTCCTTAGAACAAAGGATTCCTAAGCCTTGGAAACAGGAATCGTAGAGACAGCAAGAGTAAAAAGCCCTGTCCCTCCCTGATAAGTTAATAATAACATTATTTTACAATAATACAATACATGTACATGCATAATCTCATACAATATGTTTGAGAAAACACAATGTCACAATCAAATGAGTACCTAGCACAGTTCTTCATGCAGAGGCCTTTCTTTTCTATTTTGAGTTGGCTGTGCAGGTCCGCCTAAAACACAGACGACTGTCTGTCCCTCCATTTCACTGTCTGTCATCTCTGCTAAGGGCCCAGCAATGCGGGGGGGGGGGGCAGTGTCACTGACTCTTGTACTTCCCCACCCCCAGAATCCCTGGTGGAGAATAGAAGACCTAGAGATGTGCCACAAATGTTTAGGGACGGAAGGAGCAGAGGAGAGGAACAGGGACACAGGAAAGGAGGGACAGAAAGAAGGGAAAGCAGGAGCAGACAAGATGGCTGCTTCCCTCCCAGTGATTATGAGTCGGCCAGGCAGACAGTAAGTCTCAGCTGTTGTCCACAAAATGTGATTCTAAGGGGGCTATACAGGTGTTCCTGTGTCCCCAATATCTCCCATGTTTGTCCACCCTTCAGTCTGAAATTCCATCATTAGAATTTTTGTACCTTTACCTCTAAAGGCTTTGCTTTTCAAAAATTTCCTGTTTAAATTCTGGGAGGCATTCACCTAAGAGTCACCTGGGGTGCAATTTCAAACGCAGATAACTGGGCTCCAACTGTGATAGTGTGTGCTCAGCACAGGGGTTCTGGGTTCCGTAAACATGGAAGGACTAAGGTTAGAACTAGCCTAGCTAGGGTTTAGGGTTAGAGGGACTGAAGTCCAAAGTAAGATGAACTCAAAGCCGGTGCTTCAGAGTCTCCAGAAAACTGTGTGCGCTGATTGCAATACAGACCAACCTAACTGCAGGGGGCGCTGCTGCTCTATTCTGGACCCTTTCCAGTACTTGGCTCCTCACTTCAATTCCACTCACTTGGGCCTCCTCAATTCCTCCTTCAAGCTTGAGTCTTGGTATGGGTTCCTTCTGAGAGTTGATAATCCTGTGACCTCTGTGTGTGAACTCTGGTGCCAGGCTGCCTGGGTTAAAATCCCAGCTAGCTGTGTGATCTGAAGTTCTCCTCGCCACGTCTTTCTCATCTGTGCCTCCTTAAGTTGTTGTAGTAAGTACATGTGTTGACATGTACAGGAAGCTTAAACCTGGGCTAGCATGCAGTCAGCACTTACAGGGTTAGCTATAGCTATTGCTCAGCACCCCAGCTTTTACATGTAGGTCTTGATCTTTCCCCCATCCACCCTACCTCCCCCTGGACCCCGCAGGGATCAGGTGCTATCTCACCCCTGGTCTTTCAAGGCTGAGATACAATCTGTGAGCCTCAGTCCTGGTCAGAGCCTGGAAAGACACAAGGAGAGTGTTTCCTCTCCCACTGATTGTGCCCCAGAGGGGGAACGTGTGGATCAGAGGAGGAACAAGACTTATGACCTCATGTAGGCATGACAAGAGCTTTGGGATTTTATGTAAATGTTATAGAAAACTATTCAAGGTTGAGAGCAGGTCAGTGGCTGCTGTGCGTAACCCTCGGCGTCTGCCGTAGAACAAGTTTTCTCCCTCTTCATCTTTGTGAGAAAGAATGCATTAAGTATCTGTCATGAAAAAAATAAAAAGTTGTGTAAAACTTTATGTTTTTAATAAAAAATTCCATGAATAAATTTTCTTTATCAATTCCTACACCAAAAATTAGAACTTAACATGCTCACTCATTGCTTAGAAAATGAAGAACAAACAATAAAAAATATGCAATTATATTATTGACTGGGAACATGATCTCTGCAGAGGGGGGTGCAAAAATCACATCAGCAGAGATAGCTTGGCAATAGCTCAAATATACCCATCCATGTCATGTGCTTATACTTTTTCTCTTAGCTTTGTTTAAATCAAGTATAACACATCTACAGAGATGTCCACAAATCATAAGTGTACGTCTCACTGAATTGCTATGAAACAAACATACCTGGGAACCATCATCTAAGTCAAGAAATAGAATATTACCAGCATCCACTCATGCCCCCTCCAAATAACTAGCTCTTGATTTTCCCCAAAGGTAACCACTCTCTTGACTTCTATGATGATAGATTAATCTGTGTATTTTAAAATTTTCTATAAAAGTAAACATACTTTTTTCTAACTATATGGTTCAACATTATACTTACGAGATTCGTCCATGCTGTTGCACATAGCTGTGGTCTATTATTGTTATTGCCATATAGTATGCCACTGTGTAAAAAGACTGCAAGTTCTGTTGTTATTGATGGTGGCTCAGGTTCTTTTCTTTGAGGCTATTGCAAATACGACTGCTGTAAACATTTTTGACCATA